GATGGAAATTCACATCAAATTGTAATTTTCACGGCCTACCTTTTGTCCCCGAAATGGGGAGATGTAAGGAGGAAAAGTGCTAAAATGTGTGAATAGAGGAAGGCGGGATTGGTTGAAAATTATTTTAATCCATAAAAAGGTATGATTACAGGAGAAGGTTATGACACCACCTTTAAGAGTCCCTTTAAACTGAGGAGAGGAAAATTAGCGAAAGTAGTTAAACATTCCTTCTCACATTACCATGGCAGCTAAGATCTCGAGACGACAGCAATGCTTTGAATGAATGAATGGCACTCCAAAAAAAGTAGTATTTATATGTCTATGCCCGCCATAAAAGTGTTATTCTCAGTTTCTAGCTAACTTTTGTGCATTCAATTTCTTTTTTTCAGCAGCTAGTGTTTTTAGCTCCTCTTAAAAAGCCTGTTTATTTTTTTACTAATAAAGTAGGGGTAACTCAATGTGTTCGCATTGAATAAAATTCGGGTCGTTATTCCGGCCTCCTCTCGCCTTCCCTGAATAGGTAAAATGTATCTTCTGGTCATTTTTTTCTCCAAAAAATGTAAGAAAAAAGATAGCATTTGCATTTTCAAGTGATGGAGGAGGTGCCGAAAATTGAGAGAACCACACCCTCTGAATGTCTTCGGTACATTAAAATTCCTCCTCCAGTGCCATAAATTCATGTCAGCAAACTCCAGCTAATATAGGCAGAGGAACTTTCTTCGGTTTCACCATATTTAGCTACCATAGAGGTGGTAAATTAAGGGGTTATCCTTCCACATTCCATGTTTCATGTTTGCCTTCTTCGCATTTTTCACCGAAATCTATTATTAACACTTATGACAACAAACAAGTCTCTTGTAGTACTTAAAAAGAAACAAAAATCCGAAAGCTTTTGACGCTTGTCCAGGTAACCCCTCTCTACTTTTTTTTATCAACTGAACCGAGACACAACACTAAGGTAGAACATGTAGTTTCGACACAGAGCAGGGCGCTTGGGGGCTGCTGTCGCGGCCAGGGGGCCAGGCTGTCAGGCAGCGGAGGTACAATGGCAAAGCCCCTTAGTGGTCTGTTACCAAAACCGAGAGCTAAACAAGTAACCAAGGCACTGCATACTTAACAAGTCTGAGCTTATTTTTCTGTGAATGTACTACTTATAGGGACTCAGTTACAAGTGGAAGTTTAAAAACACCAGCCATGCACAGCCGGTCCTATGTCTAATGTACCATATTATCATAGGAAAATTATAGATAAATCAAGCGCACGTAATGTAAACTTCCTTTTGGTTAACTTATAATTGGCACTCCTTAAAAGACATGGAAATTCAAGATTTTCCCAAAGCTAATCTACCGTTGCTTCAATCGGGGCGGAAACATTCGTCCATTGAAGGATGTAATTTGTGGAAGTCCTAAAAAATAGACCTTAAGATCAAACGAAATTTGAAATCTTTATAGTGTCATTACTTATGAATGTCCGCTGTTCATTTCTGATTTTAAATGCTTTTGTTTTTGAGCAACCGACCAGCCCCTGATTAAACACCTTCTGAAGGTAATGTGCCGGAAACTCGGCAAATCTTGTCGGATGAAAGAGGGAGGGCAGAACGAATTTACTCCTGAATGGATTTAATTAAAATCTGTGAATTGGCAGGGAGTTCGGCAAATTTTGCAGGCAAAAAAGTTACTTAATCGAGGAGAATATTAGAGAGGGGATTATCACTTTCCCACGTTAATTCGACCATGTGTTCTGAGGATCGCATATGGGATTTCGGTGAATATGGCATTTAGAACTCCTCCTTCTCCTTATTCTTTTGACTAAAATGTTACACGTTTCCCACGAGCAGCTATTTTAACTATGGATTTAAGACTTTTTGAATCGGGACACAAAGAAAGGTCCTGTTTAGTCGTCAAATCTCCTGTTTTAATAAACAAATCAAAGAGTGCTTGAAGTTTTCAATTTTCTGGTGATAAAATCACTGTTTTGGATAATTCTTAAAAATTTTTAATTTTTTTATCCAACCGGGATTATAAATTTCTTCACATTACATTAATAAGTAATGCTTATGAGGCATATGCATTTGTAAGTAGTATAGACTACCTGCCTTAGCTCATAATCGGTGACTGCTCCGTTTTTTTCTTTCCTATAAAAATTGCACCCTATTCATTCCCCTCACTGGTATAATCTAGCTTAAAATCGTGTCCGCGATAAAAGTGGATGCAGGGGAAAAAGGGATGGGGATGCGGATGGGCAGACCAGATGTCTATCTCAAGGTGTTGATGCATTAGCGTCGACTTGAGAATAAAGATATGAACGTAGACGAAAAAGTGCGGGGAAAAAATAATGCAACATCA